GCATATATATATACGCTGGCACATACCGGAGTATTGTGCACATATCCAACCTTCATAATGTTAAGGTCTTGTTTGTAAATAAGTTGTACCATGGTGAACTTTACCCATTGCTCTGACTCAACTACATATTGTACTGAGAATCTGACAATTTCAGCACAGATTCGTGAATACATGTAGACTTGTTGCTAAATTCTGAAGTTCATCAATCAAGACCATATCGAATTAGCGAGACCTGACTCGAGATCAAGCATTTATGCTGGTCAGGCATTTTCAATAGAGAAATCATATCTTAATTATTTCAATGTAATTTCTTAGCAAACTTTTACTGGAAATAGCTATGGCATCTGATTGAGAATTAAGAGCAGAGTAAAAGCTATAGGAGCTGAAAAGGTTGAGATATGGTGGTCACAATGTGGAACTATTGTTCGATTTAGGACTTGAATGTATCTCAGCTGATTGAGGTTACATTGGTACTTACAACCGAGATTCTTCGTGGTTCACATTCACGCGGAGCAGGTACTTTTGTCTAGGGCTGTAGTCATCGAACGATTGAACATGTGTTCGATTTCCATGAATTCTTAACTCCAGATGTTTTGCGAATACTTGACCTCTTGGTACTTCTGAAACTTGACAGTCGATAATATAAATGAATTGAAAACTAATCCAAAGCCCTATTAATTTTCTAAACGATTGTTTCAAACGACTACTACTGTCTATCGTGGGTTACCAAGGTCTACAATGCACTTCCACCATTATTAGGATCGAACAAATTTCGATGACATTTCGTGTCACTCATATTAGTTTTATGTGTGTGTGTTAATCGTTTCACGACCTTCACAACTCCATAGCCCCTTCATGTCGGTACTACATGCGCCTGAAATATCTTGATAACGGTCATAGACCACATTACACCGTGGTAAACCCTTCTACTTTTTCTATATAGTTGAATTATTTTGTATTTTATTGATGTCAATCAATAATTACAAGAGTTCAAGCTTTCCAGAAATTCGAAAGGTTAGATCATTTTTTGGAGTTCAAGAACTATCCAAATTCTGAGGATTGTAAGAGTGAAAAGAGCACTTGGGAAGCAGCAGACTCCACTCGTATGAAATGCAATAGAGTCATGTGGAATTCTTTGATGTCTTATGAAGTCTCACGCAATTCCATGAAATATACCGATTCTTCAAAAAAAAAATGTTGTACACGAACAATGACCTCTGCAAAAAGCGCAAGGGAAAAAAACGTGTCTATTTAGCTGAATTCACTTCAGCTTCTTCATCAACAAAAAATACTTTGAACACATTATGAATAAATTTCTGAGAGAATCAAACATTACATGATATGTGCAGCCGAGTTATATTTCAGAATTTACTGATCTTTGTTTTTATATACTATAGATGATAATGAGTTTAGTATTCCCTAAAGTTGTCAACTCGATTTGAATAGTATTTCCTATATAAACAATCAAAATACCAATGATATTTTTAATGTGATTTTTTTGTTTATTACTTTGTAACCAATTTTTGGTCAGTGTTCTTCAGTAAAAATGACTTTTTCATTACACTGTTTGAGACTTTTGACTTCCCATTCTATTAAAACTATAACTATAAAGGTATTGTTGTTCTATATACAAAAATTCAGAAATTTTCATCGATCCTACAAGAACTTTTAAGATACTATTAAAAATTCTGTATTGTCCTTGTTTTTCTACATTTTGTTACAAAAATGTTACTCTACTGCATTTTATACACAAATAAGAAATTGCTATCATATTTCTATGGTGATAGAACTTATCAAGTTTCACCACCTAGTATAGCTCACTATTTATCTTTAAGAAAAGTAAAACAATTTTGGTTAAAAGTCATATTTTTCTGTCATTCATAAGATATATTTGAGAATATTGATCTATTTTTCATAGGTTATACTTTCTCGACCAGTTAATATTTTCTTATGTAGCTATGTTTTTTTGTTGTGGGTGCTATGATGATTTAAGATTACTAAACCTGATCGTCAACATTTTTAGTATTAAAAGAAAAAAAAGATGATACATTTTGGGGAGAGTCATTTCCAGACAGAATAGTTTCAAAGTCATATTATCAAGTTCTGATTGTAATTATAAAGTTGAATTTTATTGAAAACAAAGCTGATATATCGAATCAAGATGAAAAACTACATCTGAAAACAGATTTTACATCTTGAAAAGTTTCTTATGAAAAATTCACTATACTCCTTCTCAGCCATTTGTTTGTGAAATTTTTCCTTGTGTTTCGCTACGGATAAAATTTCAATGGGTAATACTTTATAATGAAGCATATGTTTTGTAATATAGCTCTGCTCATCCAAATCCGGAATAATAGGTTTACTTTCAATAAAATTAAACTTTCTACAACCTGAACCTGGTAATACCACTTTTTAAGCAATTTTATATGGAAGTGATCCTTTTCTAAATGTATCATTGTTCTCTTTATTAACATTAAAAATATTGAAGGTCTAGTTTAGTAATCTGAAATCATCATACTACTCACAACAAAAAGCGTAATTAACCGGACAGTAAAGTATAATGTACGAAAATAGATCAATATTTTCAACTATATCTTATGAATAACAGGAAAATATAACTTTTAATCAAAATTGTTTTACTTTTCTTAAAGATAAAAATAGTCCGATATTCTAGATGGTAGAACTCCATAAACTCTATCACTGGTAGAAATATGACAGCGATTGCTTGTTGGCGTATAAACTGTAGTTAAGCGACATTTTGGTAATAAAACATAGGAAAAAAGTACAAGACAGTCTTTTTAAATAATAGTATCTCAAAAGTTCTTTTAGGATTGATGAAAAATTCTGAGCTTTTGTATACAAAACAACAATACCTCAATAGTTATGGTTAAAAAAAGATGAACAGTCAAAAGTAGACTTGAAACTGATACCGAACTGATCGACTCGCCGGCTACCGGTCCGCTCCAGTTGAAGTTTTGAAATTGATCGATTTTCGCCGTTTTTTTTTGTAACAATTTTTTTGACAGTGAATATAGCAGGTTTTGCTCATTTTTATCGATTTTCACGTTTTACTAGACTCATTACCATCTATAGTATATAAAACAAAATCAGTAAATTCTGAAATGTTATTCCATATTGTCAATATCATGTAATGCTTGATTTTCTCCAAAATTCACTCATAAAACTTTTTTCATTTGAGCAACAGTCTTGTTTATATTCAACTTGATTTGCTTCTTCTCTACTATAATAATCTAGCGTAATAAAATTACTTTTATTGCTCATTACCATGTTTTGTCATTGTTTTCATAGTACATATACTTACATTTTAATACGAATATACAAGAGAAGGCAAATTCACACAACCAAATCGGTGTACTTCCACAGAAACCGCAAAACTAATAACTTTTGATTGCTTAGATGCTTCAGTTGAATCAACATACTTTTTTCTTTCTGGCCAACGGTTGACTGACAGAAAAATTCTGTAAGACTTTGAGACTACATGTGGTCCCATAAATCTTATGGTACCGTGAAATCTCATGAAGTCAAGTGAAGTCGATTGATTTGGTGTTATTCGAAGTTCGCTACTTCCCCCTCGGATAAGAGTCTCTACAGTCTAAAACATTATAATGACTATTTGATTTGATCTTAATATTTGTTTCAATTTTTAGGAATATCACTAGACGTGAACTAGGATGTTCAGGGAATGGCATCACTTATATTGGATCCGATGAGGGAAAATTTGGATTTTTGAAATTAGAGTATCCTGATCGGACTCCTCCCAACGACCATTTATCACAAGTGAGTCATGTGACCTTCAATTATATTCTTGATATTATACAACAGCACATTGAATATCTTCTCAGAGCAGCTATATCTTGTGCCTGAATTGAGATGTTTTTCGGAATTGACATTTCTATTTTAGTAACTTTAATAGCATACGTTTTTCATTTACATAGCTCGAGTAAATAAAAAAAAGGGTGAATGATAATACTCTTATAACTGAAATAAAATGAGTCTTCATTCTCTAGATTTGTATTATTCCACCCCATTTCATGCAAAATGTCAACTAGTTTATATCTCTTTAGTTCATTCAACTTTCTCCAGATTCGACAGCAGAGGCGGTGGTGCAATTCATTATTGAAGCCTATCAGCTTCCTCCTGCTCATCTCATTCTCTCAATTCAGACGGATGATGTCAATATCGAGGAACGAGTTAACGATAATTCTGATATTAAAGAAGAAACCAATCGTGCCATTCAACGTGGTTTAGCTGAAACGGCAAAAATAACAAGTAAATAATTCAAGAAAACTTCATCTTTCTGCTATACACATATCTTCAAACATTTAGATGCGTGGATTATGACAAATGGCATAAATCACGCTATGAATCGTCTAGTAGGAAAAGGGTTGTGTGCTGATGCCTCTGAAGGTGATATTCCTTGTATCGGTTTGTGCAGTTGGCCACGTGTATCAGGTATCTTTAACACTAGAATTAATGTAACTTGTCATTTTCAGCACAGTATGTTATGTTATTCATCAGGTCACTGTGAGCTACAAAGGATGCAGGTAAAATCGATGCGTTCAACCCATGACAGTAATAAAACATTCGATTATGAGATGGGGTATGCCAGACAGGGTAGTAGAAGGCAAGAATCGTCATATTGGTTCACTAGAAAATTTCGAAGAGTTTCCAAGCGTGGAGAAACCGCTAATCTCTCACGTAACATCACACCGATCGATCCGATATGTTTGGTAATTATCATGAGATAAGAGAAACAAATCTAATTTCTTTAAGATTACAACTACTATTGTTTTATTTAGATGCCCAAAGAACAAGTTCCTGTTTACATTCATAAATACCATCACGTCAACGCCAATTACAACTTACAACCGAATCACACTCATTTTCTCCTCTTCAATCATGATCCAAATGATTTGAAGAGTATTATCAACATGCGCCAGGATATCGAATACGAACTTAGTCGCGAACTGAAGTCAAATATGGTTGGTTATGATCAATCGAATAGTATGCATTAACAAATTATTTGTCAATAATCTTCACAACTAATTTATAATATATTTTTCAGAATTTGATAATGATATTCCAATAGTCATATTACTACTCGGTGGCAATTTGACAACACTAAGCGCACTATGTGGGTACTTGAAACGAGACACACCGATCGTTGTTGTTAAAGTATGGGCTTCTATCACTGAATTTCTCATATGAATGAAAAAGACTTCAAAATATAGAACAGATAGTTACCAGAAAAGCAAAATCGAGACGAAATCTCAGCTTATTTCATTTTTGCTTTAGTCTGTTTCAGAAATGACAATGAGCCGCACTCCATACCTCTGTTCCTACTTTATAGTTTATATCGAGTGATTGGCAAGAGGAAAACTCTGGCTTCCTATATGTTATAGAGCACGTTGTGTGACATATTTAGTGAAACATGAAACATATTTTGAAATCACCCTTTCATAACTTTCTGAAATTCGAAAACATCATCCTAAAAAGCGTGGAAAGAAAACGTGTAGTAGATATTCTAAACCATAAAAGTAAAAGTTTGAGCTCAGTTATAACTGATTCGAAACGTTGATATAAAAAATACAATCAACTTGCAAACGTGCAAACTTATATGTTCAATGTTGTTGGTAAATTTCCTATAGATTTTCCTATCAACTAGGGATTCAATTTCTTATTTTACTATTTTCAAAGGTCTTCTACAGGGTGCACGAAAAGTCATTTAATCAAAAGAAAATTCTATATCTTCTTCATTTCTTGACCAAATGAGCTCATTTTTTTCTTGATGATAATGGATAGTTCAAATTTTCTCTTATAAGCAAAAAATTTAGTAACATCGCTTAAAACTATTATTATGTATTTGAAAGAGAAAAATTTATGATTTTTTGCTAAAGATAAACAATAAACTTTCGGTTTCTTTGATATGATTCCAACTCCTCATGTTCATAAATTTTCTCAATTTGTTCAATAATTTATTTGCAATAGTTGAGTTTTTCCTTAGTTTATCTAAGTTCTCCGATGCTTCGCAGGATCCTTACCGATGTTTTTGCAAAAAATGTTGGTCAAGAAGTCGGACGACTACAGTTATCTGTGATAGAGTGCTTCCATGAGCAGTCAGTTAGAAAAACGCAAGAGTATCTAAAAACTCTTTGACACATTCCATTTTATAAAGCTTTTTGGGCTGATCACTTTTGTAAAAAAAAATATTTCTATTCCGATTAACAAATAACGGCGCTCGAGTCAAATTATTGAAAAACATCAAATTGCTCCAACATTCTAGAACAATTTGACGTTTTCTAGTAATTTGACCCTACCGCCGTTCCTTGTTGATGAAAATAGAAACATTTTTTTGCGAAAATGATCGGCAGAAAAATTTCTACAAAACCGAATTATGTCAAAAAGATTTTGAGCATCTTTGTGTTTTGCATGGTTGACTACTTATGGAATTGATTAGAAAATACGGTCAAGTTCTGTATTGAAGCTGATTGTGCTAGATTTCAAGTGTGTCAATAAGCTGCTAATTTATAAAAAAAATAATTGGAACTCTCCTTTATCATCAGAAAAAATGAGTTCAGTTGACTAAGAAATGGCGGAGAAATACAATTTTCTTTTTGTTAAATGACTTTCCAAACATCCTGTATGTATGCACATTTCCTGACACTGTTGACAAGGATTTTCTTATGTCTTAAGAGATCATCCTAGACGATTTCAAAATCTATTTGTTATTCGTCGCGACTTCTAGCATCGCATCATTTTTTGTAACTTCGACGATGATGTCAAAAAAAAATCGAGAAGCTATAAACAAAGTACTTTCGTATTATAGAGCATAGTACACTCCATGGGTTCAACAACACCTGACGTTTCGTAAGTTTTGGACTCTGACAAAATAAATCTATATGGACACAGGCAACTATCACTAATTGGACGTATTTATACGAGATGTGAGTATTTGTGTAGAAGTTTTAAATGGCATAACGTTGTGTAACAGTGTCGTAAGGTGATAACAGTAGAAACATGAGGCTGTGATGATTAATTGTTCGAAATCGTTCAATAACATTTTGAAGAAACACGATTGCTAATGTGTGCTGAAGTATATAGCGAGAAACCTGAATCCATCTCCATCATTGCAGTCTGCAGACCGTGACAGATAAGTAGACATACAGTATCTATAACGGTATGTGATGAGTCTAGCTCAAGTTTTCAATATGTCTGTCACAGTCTTGACAGTCTGGTAGGTTTTTCGACATTTATCAGGTTTGTATCTTATTACAAAGTGTAAAAGCCGTGACACCAGGATTCTTCCATAATTGTTGAAATGGATTTATCATCTTTTACATTTTAATACCGTAGAAATTGTGTTTAAAGCTATTATTTTAAGAAAAAGAAGACAATGCGTTTTATTACCTCACAAACTCTTTCAGAAACTTTACCGCTCATTTTTTTTATCATCATTATTAGCTATTTTTGCGGGCTCTTTGTTAACATCGTACCATATGTCTGCAAATTTCATATCATCATCTCGAGGTGAATTTCCAGTACTCAATAGTTCAGCAACATTTTCCAGCATGATCTTTATTTTCCTTCTGCAAGTAATGTGCTCATATAATTTAGTTCAATTTAAATCGTCCATTCAACATATAGTTTGTTTGATCATACTCTCTAAAAAATAAAAAAGGTGTTGTAAGAAACCTTTTTAATGGGTATCATTTTCTGTACCTTTCAAAAAATCGAGACTTCCAGACTAGAACCTTTGTCCTGAAAATTTATGGACAAAAAGATTCTAACCGAAATGTCTAGACTCTTTAAAAGGTCCAGAAAGTTCTATACATTGAGAGGGTTCCTTATGACATCTATTTTCATAGAGAGTATATCCAGCAGCTCTTGAGAAATTTCAATGAAACGATTACGGCATCCATTTATTGATTCCGATTATGCTTTTACAGTAAGTCAAATGTGTTCATCGTTTTATTGAAAAGATAAGGTGCCGGAAATTCAAAATCATAGCAAAATTTTTTTTTTGTCTTTTTTTGTACTTGGTTAGATAGAGGGCACGAAAGTGGTTATAAAAAAGTAGTTTTCAAATTTTCAAAAAATATTTTTGCCGAAAAAAAATTCAAAATGGTGCAGAACCACATTTTTGGACAAAATGGGTCAATTTTTAAAATGATGCCATATTTTTGTTTTTTCATTCTTTTTGCTTCTCCAAACCAATATTTTCTTGTTCCTTGTGTGAAACTGACTATAGAGAACTATATTAATATAGTTCTCTATAGTCAGTT